ATGGAGCAGCCATGGCCTAGTAAGGGACAAGGGACCCTTCCAGCCTCTGTCCTGGAGGCTGGGAACTGCCTTCACCCAAAGCTGGCCTGTGGTGGTGACTCAGCTTTGACTCTGGGTTCTTCCTGGCAGTGTGATTGGGCCAGTCTCAGTACCGGCCTGACCCCTGGAGTGAGAGCAAGGTAGGCAGCCAATGGGGCCTGCTGATCAGGGTCTGACTAGGAGGAAGGAGGAAGACCATGACAGTGTGCATGAGCCCCTTTTTTTTGGTGCACTTAGTTTTTTGCCATCCCAGTTGGGCCCTGCCTCACACTCAGAGCCTGGGATTTCAGAGAGGTGGGGTTGTCCAGCCTCATGCTAGGTGTGGCCCATTAACTGGAAACGTCTCATCTGCTTTTCATCTGGACCCCAAACATCTCTGGGGGAAGCACTGTCCTTATCCTTGTCTGACTTCATCCTGGACCAGCATGGGGCAATTCTACAGGTTTGCAGGAGACATTGTACATGAAGCATTTGTTTAGCCCGGCAGTGCCTGCAGAAAGCAAGTACTTGAGGGATGACAGTTGTTGCTGCTGCTGCTGCTGGGGGATTGTTCTTCTTTTTTAAATTGATATAATTCACATGCCATAAAATCCACCTTTTTAAAGTACACGTAAAATTCAGTAGCTTTGAATGTATTCCCGAAATTTTGCAACCAGCACCATTATCTAAGTCCAGAGTATTCTCATCACCCTAGAAAGAAATGTACCCATTTATAGTCAGTCCCTATCCTCCTGGCAACCACCAGCTCCTTTCTCTCTCTGGATTTGCCTATTCTGCACATTTCATATAAGTGAAGTCATATAACATGTGGCTTTTGTAACTGGCTTCCTTGGCTTAGCTTCACATTCTGTTTTCAAGGTCATGTTGTAGCATGTGTCATTCTTTTTCTGGTTGAATTATACTCTGTTGAACGGGCATATCATCCACTCGTCAGGTGATGACATCTAGGCTGTGGCCACTTTTTGGCTATTACGAATAATGCCATGAGCATTGCAGGGCAGGTTTCATGTGGACATAAGTTTCCATTCCCTTAGTTGTATGTCTAGGAGTGCACTTACTGGGTCATACTGTAACTCCATGTGTAACTATTTGGGGAACTGCCAGATTGCTTCCGAAAGCAGCTGCACCATTGGACGTTCCCACCAGCGGTGTTAGCGCTTGTTACTTTGTCTTTTCGATCATAGCCATCCTCAGTAGATATGAAATAATACCTTATTGTGGTTTGGATGTGCATTTCCCTGATGGCTAATGCTGTTGAGCATCTTTTCTCAGGTACTTCGGTTATTTGTATATTTTATTTTGAGAACTGTCACTTCAGACCCTTTGCCCATTTTAAATCTGGGTTGTCTTTTTACTGTTTGTTAATAGTTCTTTGTATGTTTTGGATCCTAGACCCTTGTCAGATGTATGATTTGCAAATATTTTTCCCCATTCCATGGGATGTCATTTCACTTTCTTGATAGTGTCCTCTGAAGCATGGAAGTTTTTAATTTTAATGATGTCAGATTTACCTGTTTTCACTTCGTTTGCTTGTGCTTTTAGTATCTAAGAAGCCATTACCCAGCCCTAGGGTTATGAAGACTTATTTACACCCATGTTTTCCTCTAAGAGTTTTATTATTTTAGATCTTATATTTAGAATCATGATCCATTTTGAATCAATTCTTGTGTGTGGTGTGAGGTAGGGTTCCAGCTTCATTCTTTTACAATGTGGATATCCAGTTTTCCTACCACCATTTGTTGAAGACTATCGTTCCCCCATTGGATTGTATTGGCACCCTGGTGGAAAATCAATTGATTCACATATATGGATCTATTTCTGGTCTCTCAGATATATTCCATTGATCTATGTGTCTGTTCTGGTACCACTACCATACTGCATAACTGTAGCATTGTAGTAAGTTTCTAAATTGTGTGTCTTCAACTTTGCTCTTTTTCAAGGTTGGCTATCCTGGGTCCCTTGCATTTTTACATGAATTTAAGGATTAGCTTAAATCCTGCTAAAAAGAAAGCTGAGATTTTGGTGGGGATTGCACTGAACCTGTAGATCAGTGTGGGAGTGTTGCCAGCTTAGTATAGTATCTTATTCATGAGCATGGGATGTCTTTCTGTCTGTTGAGATCTTCTTGAATGTCTTTTAACAATATTTTGTAGTTTTCAACATTTAAGTCTTTGTTAAATTTATTAAAGTGTTTTTATTTTTTAATGCCATTATGAGAATTATTTTCTTAATTTCCTATTAAGGTTATTCACTGGTAAAATATAGAAATACAATTTTTTGTGTGTATTGGTCTTTTCTTTTGCAATCTTACTGAACTTATTTATCTTAATAGGTTTTGGGTTTTTTGTGTGTATGGATTCCTTGAGATTTTCTGTATACAAGACCATGTCCCCTGCATATAGAGGCAGTTTTACTTCCTCTTTCCATTCTGGATGCTTTTATTTCATTCTCTCTCCTAATTACCTTGGCTAGAACCACCAGTATGATGTTGAATAGAAATGACAAGAACAGATATCCTTGTTTTGTTCTTGATCTTAGGAAGAAAGTGTCCAGTCTTTTACCCCAACATAAAATGTTGCTGTGGTTGTTGTGGATGCTCTTTAATCAGATGGAGAAATTCCCTTCTATTCCTAGTTTGTTGAGTGTTTTATCCTGAAGTGCACTGGATTTTGTCAGATGCTTTTTTTGAGTCTGCTGAGATGGTCATCTGAGTAAAAGCTTTGTCTTTATCCTGTTAATATGAAGTGGGCATTTTATCTACTAGGGAGCCAGCTGCCCAGGTACGAGCCTCCCCAGCTGTACCATGTATGCACTGGGTGACTTTGGGCAGGAGACTTCATCTGTAGAATGGGAGCAATGACTTTCTCCTGGGCTCCTGGTGAGGGGGCTTGAGTTGCTTTGTAGACAGTGTTGTCTGACACATACCAAGCGCAGTTTACTAAGAAGTTGGCTATTACCACTGACATGTGAAACATGAGTGGGCTAGGTTTGGGAGAGGGGGAACATAGATGGGGGCATTGCAAGGCAAATCCAAAGGCCAGGCTGATGCCTCTGCTCTGAAAAGTCTGGTGATGGGAAGTCTGGAAGCTCTTACAGGAGGTGGTCTGTTGGGTTCCAGCAGTCTTCGAATCTTCCTGTGGGAGGGGATGGGCCAAGGGTGAGGCCCAGGTGAGCACCTGTCTGCTGCAGAACCCTCCTCTATTTGTTCAGGCCTTTAGTGTCACATCCTGTGGGGGCTGGGCTGCAGGATCTGTGCATTCGCAGCAACAAGCTTTCCTGCCCAGGCTCTGAGTCCAGGCTGAGGGTGCAGAAATGGGGCCTTGAGATAATGGTGTACAGCTGAGAGCCAACATGTAGCCCCACCTCCCCACCCTGATTTTCCTGAGGGCTCTTTTCCTGGCCTGCCCTTTGAACCTAGCTCCTCATCCTGCCTCTGTAATTGACCGTCATGTGAATTTGGGCAGATTGCCTGTTGGGGCCTCTTTTGGCCTCTATCCACAGAGACACGGTCCCAGCAATTTGAGTATGAAATGAGTGCTCTGGAGGTCCTGCAGCACCATCTGCCAGGGCTCAGCAATCAGTTCTCCCAGACCACTCTCGCATGGCCCCCAAGAAGCCTTGCAACCCCTGAAATCTGCCAACACTTTTGCGCCTATATGGTGTTTGGATTTTACTCCATATAGGTGAGGGGGGGATTAAAAACATTTTTAATATGCCCTGTTTAATTCTTGGCATTCATTTCTATGAGCTATATGAGGCAGGATCTTACCTTGGTTTAATGTACTGACCTTCTAGGCAGCCAAGTATCTCGAAGCTCCTGGAGACAAGCCACTTTGCTTCTTGATTTTGGTTTGTTTTCCAAGGTTGGGGTGGCGGTGGGGGTGGAAGGGTGCCTCACTAACGCTCTGCCTTTCCCGATCCCTGTGCTCAGAAATATAAACCAGTAATGTAATTTAACCAACTGTAGGGAGCATCAGAATACATCTGGTTATCCCACAAATTACCTGTTTTGCCCTAACTTGGTGCCTTGCACTGGGAGCATCCTGACAACCAGAGCAGACTTAGCTACCAGTGCTTTTCAGAAAAACTGAACGTGCCGAGAACCCGTTGGATGGGTGCTACTCTGAAACTGGGGACTCAGGCAAGCCAGGGTGTGAGAAGGCGTTGGGGGTGGGGGTGGGGGCAGGTCCAGGGCTGGAGTCTGTCTGCAGGGGGCTGGAGAAAGGGCTGTTAGTATGCTTGAGAGACGGAGGGGGTGCGGGGGAAGTCAGGAGGCTAACAGGTGATAAGATGTGTCCTTTAGGTAGCCAGAGGGCGAGGGGCCTGTGTCCCAAGGTGCAGGAATGGCTGTGTGGTCTGGGGCACATGCTTTCATCTCCTCGGCCTCAGCTTCCTTCTTCTAGGATTGTTCTGTGAACTTCAGGGGTGGTGCCTGCAAAGGCCTTATTAGCACAGTGCTGGATGCATGGTAGCAGCTAAGCACACAGCATCATTCCTGCAGTTACAGCTAAGCTGATGAGGCATATGGTAGGAGAAGTCTTCATGGAACGAGAAAATGTTCGTAGTTAGCTGAGTGAAAGTTTGGGTTACAAAACAGCATGCTGTTGTAAAGTTTTGTGTGTATGAATGTGCAAGAGCCTCAACTAAAGGCTGGGTGGCAGTAATAGTCATATTGGTGAATGCATGTGGTTCTTTTGTTCTTTTGATGTCCAAGTTTTATACTTCTCATACATTGGCTCTATAATTACAGAAATGTTAATAGAAAATGTAATGAAGGAATGAACTGCTGTTACTGTTGGTGTGTGTGTGCGTGCGCTCGCACACTCACTACGGAGTTGGGGGTGTCAGCTCAGGAGAGCGGGAATGTTGAGGGTGGCCCTGGGGAGGTGGGTCTGTCACAGGAAGTGGGCCTGGGGGCTAGCGGGCAGGCTCGCTGACGTGGGCTGTTTCTCCATCCACAGATGACAGGATCTGCTCGCCACCCTTCATGGAGCTCACGAGCCTGAGTGGAGATGACACGATGAGGCTCCTGGAGCAGAATGGCCTGGCATTCCCCTTCAGTGAGTACTACCCCCAAGCCCTGCTGGGCAGGGTGGGGTGGGGGCTGTCTGGGGCTCCCCGGGATGCACAAGGGCCCTGGCTGCCCAGGAGGGCTGAGCTCCGGGTCCTGCTCCCTCCTGTGCAGTGGAGATGGGTCCTCAGGTGCAGGCTGAAGGTGCTCTTCTGCTGGTCAGGCAGCATCTGTTCAGGCCACCCTGAGTGAGGATGCTGGCCACTGTTGAGCTAGCAGGTCTCCCCAGCTCCCACTGCAGGAGTGTCACAAGTTTCTCCCCATGCCTGCCGGGTCAGCCTCTGTGGGTAAACCACATCACTGATTTCTCTCTGCTTTTCTCTCCCTGCTCCATAGTTTGCAAAACCAGAGTGGCTCATGGCACCAACTCTCACGAGGTAAGTAGAGGCTTTGATTGCCCTCTCCCGCCATCACCCCGGGCCTTTGTCTCTGTAGCTCACAGCGTCTCTCTGGGAGCCTGCAGGAGTCCATGTGCTAGATCCCACCCCTGCTGCTTCTGCTCCCTGTCATGCTCTGGGTTGTGGCTCTGTACACTGTCTCCAGCCTCTGCCCATGCCTGTCCTGTCCCCACCCCCCCCACACCCTGTCCTGTCCCACACCCTGGTGGGAGGGATATGCCAGCGGTCTGCCTGCCCTGTTTGAGCCCTTGCAAGTCATACTCCAATTTGACCTGTCTGACTTTCCAACTCTGGTTCGTCAGTGTCTATCATCCCCTGGACACCCACTCTGTGCCAGGCACGGCGCTGGGCCCCTCTGAGTGCTGTTAACTGGAAAGATGCTACCACCCTTGAAGCCCTGCTAGCTCTGCTGCATTTAGAAGGGGACAGGAGAGGCAAGGGCACTGTTTGCCAGTATGTGGCGATTCCTCCACCCTCCAGGTCATTCCTTTATTTCCCCATGGGCGTTCCCAGCCCCACTCAGTGCTAGGGAAAGAATGTCTAAGATGTGCATCTTGCCCCAGTGCTAGAGACAGAATCCCAGACACACATCACACCTGTGAGATGTACAGGACCACAAGCAAAGGAGGCCTTCTGAGGGTGAGAGGACCAGATGGCCAGGCAGGGACTCTGTGCGGTCTCTCTTGTCCTTCCTGTCCTTGAAACCACATCCAGGACATTGCCCTCAGAGGCACAGCCCAGCCAGGGACCTCCCTGTTGGGCACATTGGAGGGCGTACTGGGCAGGAGACGCGTGACCCATTGGAGGGCACCATAGGGAGAGCCTGACCTTGGGCAGCCACACAGTCAGAAACAGTCCCCAGAACCTTAGGACAAAACACGGGCAGCCCCACAGCAGTGCCCTGTAGATTTCTGTGGTGCTCCTTACCCCTGGCATACATTTATGGGGAAACATCTATGCACAGACCGCATCAGTGTGACACAGCACATGGTGTGATGGGATGGGAGCTGTGCGCCAGAGGTATGCCTCTGCTCGTGGGCAGGAATGTGGGGGCAGCCCTTGGAAATCCTGGCCTGCTACAGAGGCCAGCTGCCTCCCAAGGTTGTAGAGTCGTCCCTGTCTGGGCCTGTCTGGGCTCCGGGCCAGGGATGAGCTCCCTGCCAGGCCCCAGGAGGGAGCAGGAATGCCTCAGAACAGCCAGAGTCCCATTGCCAGAGCCTGTGTTCCCGTCGCTGGCACCAGCATCTGCCGGCCAGCCTTCCACTAGCACCTGCTCCCTCTGTTGGTCAGGGCCTTGCATTTTTCTGAATGGAAGGGTGGCTCCGGTCATCATCAGTGTGATTAGACCATCCTGATGCAGAAAAGCTCGGCCTGCAGGAAAGGAACCTCCTCTTTCTTCACAAGGGGATTCCGGAAGCATGTAGACCTGGGAACGGGTCTGGCTCTGTGCACTGCTGCCTGTGACTTTGGGCAGATCACCCAGCTTCTCTGATGGCAGTTGTAGAGGATGAGGGTGTTGCCATGTACTGACATGAGGCCTGGTGCACTGGGAGGGAACCGGTTGCTGTGGAGCCTGCCAGGTCACTGCAGAGGGAATAGGGGTCCCAGATTCAAGTGAGCTAGCTCCCTCCTTGGCAGGAGTCTCAGCCTTCAGATGTGGGGTAGGTGTGTTTAGGGGAGGCTTTCATCCCTTCCTCTGGCTCTCGGAGTTTGGCTCCGTAATGTACACATGCGTGCATCCCTGTTTCCCCCACCCCCTCGCTCCTGACCCACCAGGTGCTGTCAGGGAGGGGCTCCTCTTCCCCAGGGTAGGGGGGCAGGCAGAGCCTCTAGGATTGGAATCTGCCCCACCCCGAGGGGGGGGGGAGTTTGTGTCCACTGTGGGTTGCCTGCCTCCTGGAGGCTTTAACATCAGAGGGATACCCTCTCAGGTGGGGTGTCCTCCACAGCATGAGTCTGGAGATTGGGGGGCAAGGCTCCTCACTGGTTCCGGGGGTGCCTAGAGATGTCAAGTGCAGCGGGGGTAGAGGACAGCTCCATGTACACGACTGGCTTTAAACGGGAAAATAAGGCTTTCTGATTCAGGTCTCTGCCTATACTGAGGTCTCCCTGAGCCCTACCCCTGAATCTCCCAGCCCCACGCCCAGCCAAAACCAACTAGTGTTGCCAAACTACTCTTTTCATTGTGTGTTCACAGAGCTGTTTGTTCTATTTCTAAGCCGGTATGGCCACACTGACCTGCTTGACAGTGAAATTACCAGCCCCCTTCTGTTAAACCACCAGCCAGAAGCCCAAAGCAGAGCGCCCCTGACTCTGTCCCATGGTATTTCCTATTGCTGTCTACAAGTGAGGGCGATGGAGCACAGGGCAAGGCCCCCACCTGTGCTCCTGCAGCTCCGTGGTGAGCTGAGGCTTGAGCTGTGCCTGGCTCGAGAGCCCTCTGTGTTCTTTCCCTCTCTTGGCAGAAGGTAACTCACAAACATGCAGTGCACACACTTGGTCCCCCATGTGGCCTGGATCTCTGCTTCTGCCCCACATGCTCAGTACCAGGAATATCGAGGTGCTGCTCGGTGACACTGGATGACAGGGACGGCAGCCAGTGCAGGCAGCCAGCTGTCCAGCCTCCATCATTCCTGGGCCCAGTCCTGGGCATCTGGTGGCTCCTTCCTGGGGCCTGTGGGCTGCAAGGGATTAGCAGTGGCCCCAGCTCTGGCAGCTGACACTGCAGCAGAGCTTGTTCTCCAGCTGTCCCTCTGCTCTCCCTACTTGAGTGGCCTACCAGATCATTCGGGGGCTGGGGGCCTTTGTCCCCAGAGAGTCAGGGACTCAGCGGCATGTTTACCATCTCTTAAGCATCCATATGGCTCACACAAAGTGTCGAAGACCAAGGCTGTGTGCTAGGCAGACCCAGTCACATCCCGAGCTCTGTCACCGTCCAACAAGCCAGTGAGCTTTTCGGGTCCTCAGTTTCCTCATCTGTAAAAGGTGTGCAGTAACCATGCCCACCTCTGAGGTGCATTGTGAGGGCACTACCAGGTGGCTCAGGTCACGTGGTCAGAACAGGGCTGGGCATGTGTGAGTGCCCAACCAGTGTGAGTGCTCAACCAGAGGCAGGCTGTGTCCGCACATGGATTTTGACCCAAGACTTTCCACCTCCCCATCCACTGCCTTCTGCTTCCTGCCTCTCCTGGATCTTTGTGGAGGAACCTCTGAGGAGGTCATAAGGACTGAGTGGTGTACAGCTTCCTGAATTGCAGTGTGAATACTGGAGTTGTGCAGTACACGGCCAGTTCAACCCTACAGGGAGAGCCTGCTAGTGCAGGACCTCAAAACCCCCACAGCAGGAGTGACTCAATCCCCAGGTGTTCTTCTCGAGTCTCACTCCACTCACCCTGGCTTGAGATTCTTTGTGGGGGTCCTCCATTCACAGGGATGTATGGTTCTTGGTGGCAGAGCTCTGGACAGTTCCCATGGCCCTGTGTCTGAGATTGAGGAGGCAGTGGACTCTGACAGCCCTTGGCCCTCTGTTTCCGCAGATGGCCATCGTGTTCAACCAGGAGGGCCTGAGTGCCATCCAGCCGCCCTGTGTGGTCCAGAACTTCATCAACCACAATGCCGTCCTGTACAAGGTGTTTGTGGTGGGCGAGTCCTACACTGTGGTCCAGAGGCCCTCGCTGAAGAACTTCTCTGCGGGCATGTCAGGTAACCACACTTCCCACCGTCTCAGGGGCCTTGTCTGTACCGCAGCACTGTCCCTGCCAACCTGTGTTATTTTGGAAGGGGAACAGGGATCGGGTGATCTGAGGTCAGAGGAACAGCATGTGGTGCGTGAGGTCTTAGAGAACAAGGTAAAACCCCCATCCCACCAGGTCACAGTAGGGGTTCCATCCTTCTGAACCACCATCAGCTCCAGGAAGCATTTGCAAGCTCTGCACACCCAGGATGCTTCCTGGGGCCCCATGCAGAAATGAGACTCACAGGAACATGCTGGAATGGACAATCAGCCCTTCAGGGAGGGGAGGGTTTGGCAGAGAGCCCCTCGTGGTTTGAGGGCCAGAGCACTGACTGCTTTATCGTGTCTCCTTTTGTGTTATTTGCTGCTTCTGCAGCCACTGAGGTGGATATGCGCTCCATTAGACATCGTGCAGGGTTACGGCATTTCCTGGCTGTGGGACCTCAAGCAGATACATGTGGGTACAGTCGCCCACATGCAGGGGTGAGGCCCAAGTCTGTGTGTTTTGGATCTTGAGTATCCCTCAGACATCACAGGGTGGTGGTGTTTGCAGAATGCTGCCATCATTTGGGCCATTTGAGGGGGTCCTCTGAGGAAGCTGAGGGGCTCCCCAAGCTCAGCGTTTTTTTCTTTAGCTGCTCCCCTGATACCAGGTGACCCTTGGCCCTTTCAAAAACTGAGACTAAGATAAGGATTTGCTGGTGTTGGGGCTACTCAAAAGAATGTTCTAGTGGTTCTGAAGACATCTCTAAGGCAAGATCCAGAGACCATTGGAACAGAGTAACAGCATCTTTGAAAAAAGCAGAGCTTTCTAAAAGGATTCCTTGGAGGATATTTGATTGTCCTCATGTGGTTTGCTCAGGCACGCCGTATATTCATCTCTGCAAGGGAACCCGCCATCACCAGATGCGTTGAAATACCGGACTGTCCTGTCTCCATCTGAGCAAACAGATGTGTCTTCTTAAAGTCTCTCCTGCTGGGATTGCCTGTCACCATCCCCTCGTGATGACTTTGAGCCACTCCTCTTGAATGAAGCTCAGCTGTTCCTGTCTTCCTCTGTCAGCTTTTCTTCCCTGGATGGCTTTTTTCTTCCCATTAACACAACACAGCAGATACTTAGGAAATGTACATCGATTTTTCACTTCCTTGCTGGGTGCAGGCAGACTCCCCACCGGACATGGGGCCTCAGGACTTCAAGGCTGCATTATCAGGGTTTCAGACACCCCCACTATCAGCCTGTTCCCCGCCCCTGTACACTGGGATGGTGGCATGATCTGGAGATGAGAGGACCACAGTCTGGGGGGTCTTTTTGTATGTGCCTATACATCAGCAAGAGGCTTTCTTCTAAATTGAGCGCTGGAAGAGACTTAAGTAGGTTCCCTGCCCAGCATTCAGCCCAACTTGGGGCCAGAACTCACAACCCTGATATCAAGACCTGAGCTCAGATGGAGACTTGGATGCTGAACTGACTGAGCCACCAGGGCCCCAAGAGACTATTTTTTTAAAGTCCTTGATCATTTTCCAGAGTTTTTAAAAATAGGAGCTTTAAGTCTGTGGAAAATGTATTAAGAGTGGTATTCCTTATGTAGATTGCTTTTTTCTTTTTTTTTTTTTTAAACCAAAATCCCTCTACTTATAAAAGAAATTTCTCACCAGATTTCCTTCCTTTGCGGACAAAAAGTATCCCTTTTTCCACTCCTTTACCTCCTGGTTGCAGAGGGCTGGGCCAGGTTCTGTCTCAGCACCGGGAGCCGTTAGCCAGCAGGGTACAGGCTCCATGTCCTGTGTCTTGAGCCGGAGGGCTCCATATCTGTGTGTCGTCTCCTGACCATTCCCAGGCTGCAAGTTTCCCATAAAATGTAGGCCAGGGCCAATTCAATGAGTAGATAAAACACACAGAGCTAATATAGAAATGTTTATTGTGCTCAGTAAGCGGACTTTCAGCCTGGCCATTCGTCTATCCCCAAAGCTGATCCCATGTCTGCAGTCTTCAGGGCAGCATGCTCAGGAGCTAGTGCTGGCTGTTCTCTTAATGCACGTGTTCTTTCCGGATCAGAAGCATAACTCCACCGCAGCCCTTGAAGCTGGACCAGTCAAGCAGGGGGCTCTGGGGCTCTGGCCTCTTTGCAGCCCCCACCCTGTCTTTCTGGTTCTCATTGCCCAGGGTGGCAGACCTACAGCTTCCCCAATCTGCACAGGGATCTGGGGCCTCCATGAGTGGGGTTCTTCAGGACCTGGGGAGGAGCCAGGGACACTGGCCTTCCCTCCATAACTATCATGCTCTATTGGTTTTTCAATTGCGCTTTTGGTTTTACTTGATAACATCTCTGAAGTCAGGTGTGTCTCAGAGCTGGTGGCACATTGCAATCCCCTTGGCTGAAATGGAAGCCAGGTTCTTACTGAGGGGGTTGGTGTTGGCTGTGCCCGCCACCAGGAGCACACATTCTCTGCCTACGGTTCACAGCTGGGGAGTTTGGCCCCCTCCACCCAGTGCCAGGATTGAGATGGGCACGTTTCTCAGTTTCCCTTTTGTGCAGGGGATTTACTTCTGTATCTTGACTGTGTGGACCTGGTCCCTTTCTCCTGCTCTCCTTCCTGGGCCTTTTTCCCCTTGTGGTACAGAAAAGATTGGTATCACTTAGCACGTAGAGCTGGGCTCAGCAGACTTTCCATGAAAGCCCAGATAGTAAATACTCCCAGCTCTGTCATAATTATGTAATGCTGCCCTTGTAGCATGAAAGCAGCTGTAGACAATATATGAGCAACTGGGCATGGCTATGTCCCCATAAAACTTGATTTACAAATGTAGGTGACAGGCCAGATTGGGCCTTCTGGGTCTGGTTTGCTGAGCTATCATCTGGAGTTTCTCAGTAGATGCCACATGTCCTTGACTCCGTTGTGTGCCCAGCCCTGGGCCTGGAACTGATCCAGTAGGGACCGAGGTGGTCAGCCAAGCACCCTGCCCCTGTACTGGTATTCTAGTGGGAGAAAGCACATATGTGGAAAGAAAGATTGATTCATTGTGGCACAGGTGAAAGGCTGTGGACCCTGGGCCACCACTGGGTGAGGGAGCCCCTTGGACAGGGCGGCTAGGTCCAGCTCCTCTATGGAGTAGAGAGGGATGTGGGATCTGGTGGGAGATCTGGGCCACAGTCTGCAGTGCTGACACGTCCTACCATTCCCCAGACACATTTGTGAAGATGAAGCAAACCAAGCCAAAGAATGGGTGGTCACTGCTCATAACTGTTGAGTTAGTGCAGTATCTGGGGATACTTGTTATTTACTCTCTTCCTTTGAACCTTTCTTATCTGTAAATTGGCCGAAGCACCCATATTCCCCTCATTGCCCTCCTGCCCCTGCAGGAGGGTGGTGGTAGTGGTTCTTCACTCAGGCTGTGTGTCTCAGAGCTGGTCTGGACCCAGGGAGGGCCTGGGGCACCAGGCCTAGAGTGCTGCTGTGATCAGGGTGCCAGGGCCTAGTCTGGTTCTTCTTTAGAGGGACTGGTTATCTTGAAGCCTCTGGAGGAAGTAGCATCAAAGGGCATGTGACCCATTCTGACCCATCTCGGCTTCCCAGTCTCCTGGGTCAGGGAGTAGCTGGAAGCTGCCCACACGCCCTCTGGGCCCTGCTGAGGCCATACAGGGGTCAGATGTGAGCAGAGGATGGGGCCCCCCTCCCCAGAATAGTCCTCTGGCCGGAGCTCTCAGGTCACAGTTACCCAGGAAGACAAGCAGTGTCCTTTGAAATGGTCACATTTCTGATTTGTCTTCCTGCCAAAAGATGCTGTTGCGTTGACAGGGTCTGTCCAGTTGAGTGGGGTGCCAGCCATGCCTTTCAAGTGCCTAGCTTTTTCCCTTCCTGGCATAGTTAGCACTCATGATGTTTTCCTTGTGGCTTCTGTAGGCTCCTCAGCCCCCCTGAACTTGGTAGTGTCTACCTGCTATGTTGCCTTTCACCACCCCTCCCCCACACCCCAGCTTGCTCTGCACCCTGGGGACCCTTCGGGTTGGGGAGAGGCCCCAAGTTTAGTGGGGTTGAGCCAGGCTGGACTGCAGGGTTAGTAGGTGTGCCTACAAAAGGCCAGAGCACCCAGCCCAGCTGCTTGAGCCCCACTCTGTCCTCCGGCCCCATGGGCCTCACCACCCCAGAGGGTTCCCTCTTCTTGACTCTCAGCGCCCAGGACTAAAGATCGGTGGGGCTGCTTGGCACAAGTCCCGCAGGGTGTTTATTTTCCCCAGGCTCCTCCCCAGGACCGTCTCTCGTGCCCCCCGTCTGGACTGGCTCTGGTCGGAGCGGCGGGAGGACTGTCGGGTACTCCGGGGCGGCCAGGGGCCTGTGTGCCCCACTAGCAGGAAGGATGCCAGGTACATCTCAGCGCCTGCCTGCTTGGCCTCCCGCCCGAATCACTTACTCATGCATGATTGTTGCGGCGCCTCAATCCTGGAGCTGGTGGGGGTCGTTGGCAATCAGAGCAGGTGCTCCCTGTGGCCTGGCTCCCGCACACTGTGGTGCTCAACCAAGGCCCTTCCGGTCCTGTACATAGGGGCCTGAGTCCCATAGATGAGCAATATGTCTAGGGCTGGGAGCAATGATGCCCTGCCCAGGAAGAGGCTGCCGGGCCACGTAGGGGCTCCTGGCCCAGGGCCCCATGTCATTCTTGGTGGGGGGCATGGGGTGATGAAGCTCATGGTTTTGTGATTCTTGCATTCATGTGCCCATGCTTCCAAGTGCCCAAGAACGTGTGACCGACCAGCCTCACTCCACGGAATGGACAGACACATCAGCTGCTTCCTGCTCTCATTGTTCTTGGGATGGTTCTGCCCTTCTGAGTGCCCCTCGGGAACTGAGGGTGTGGTGGGGATCGGGGAAGTATGGGGTGGGTGGAGGTGGAGGGTATCTCGGGGTTGTACCGGTTTCCAGAGCCAAACAGAAATTGTTCTGTATACTTTCTTGGATGGGTCCTATAGAAGCCAAGGTTCTGGTTTCCTATTTTTTCCCTATATAGTTGGGAAACAGCAGAACCCCTTGTATTTTTTTCCTTGTATTTTTTTTCAAAGATTTTATTTATTTATTCATGAGAGGGAGGGAGGGAGGGAGGGAGGGAGGGAGGGAGGGAGGGAGGGAAGGGGGGATGGGGGAGGGAGGGAGAGGCAGAGACACAGGCAGAGGGAGAAGCAGGCTCCATGCAAGGAGCCTGATGTGGGACTCGATCCTGGGTCTCCAGGATCAGGCCCTGAGCTGAAGGCGGCGCTAAACTGCTTAGCCACCCGGGCTGCCCAAACCCTTGTATTCTAAACACTCACCTGCCAAGTAGCTGCTCAGCATTTCTCAAGTGCTGCCCTGAAAAGGAGTTCCAAGGGCAAATACCGGGAGGGACAGGAAATACTGGATGAAAGACCCATTTCCTGGATATCTTGACTTTGGGCCTTTGACACTCTGGTACATACACTGCATTTCCTGCTCATTTAGCCACCTCGCTGTCCCTGCAGCCCCCTTTCTAGTGCCATGTCCATAAGACACACTAGACACACTTTGGAACAGGGCCTTCAGTGTCGGGGAAGCCAGATAGGGCACCCTAGGATGGTGGCAGAGGTAGGATCCTAAGGCAGCTGCTTTTGAACGGGAAGATGACTCAACCTGGGAGCCCTGAGTGAACATGTTTCCTGGCCATGGTGCAGTGTCTCCTTGGCGTGGGGCTGCCCAGCTTGCTGGGCCCGTTCTGCTGAACCGTGAGGCCACCTGGGCCGTTACTGGGGTGGTGCTGCCCCCTGGTGTCAGGGGATGGCGTCACCATCCCTGCCTTGACCTAACTCAGGCTCTTTCCTGTCTGCATTTTCAGACCGGGAGTCCATTTTCTTCAACAGCCACAACGTGTCGAAGCCCGAGTCCTCATCGGTCCTGACTGCGGTACGTTCTCTGTGCCGTTCTCTGTGCCGTGGTTGGCCTTCCCTCCCGACCCTGGGGGTGGGGTTGCCACAGGCGGTGGGGTGCAGGGCTGAGCTCCAGCAGAGCAGGGTGCAGGGCCCAGAGACCCCATTCCTTGCTTGCTGTGGGCCTCCTTGCTGACAGCCATCACAGCCACACCATGTACCCCTAGGTCACTCCTGATAGAGGATGTTCTGAGTGTCCTCCCAGAGTGAAGGCCTCCCCACACTCCTCCCCAGTCATGAGGAATTGAAGACCCACTTTCAAGTCTGCTTTTTTCCCTGATTTAAAAAAGGGATGGGAGGCAACAAGACCTCCATTTTCTTTTCTCTTTTCCTGTCCATCCGCAGCAGGCCCCTGCGCCTGCTCCTTACTCTCCTATGTGGGGGGCATGCACTTGCCTATTACCTCCTGCCCCCACCTCCAAGGCCACCTGTTCATTTCTTGTTTGTGTGGTTCCTCCAAGGAGCCAGCTGTGTGCTGAGGGTTTGACAGAGTACAGGTGTGGATGAGGACCTGGAGGGAGGACCAGTGTCCCTCAAGATGCTGATAGATGTTCCGCAGGAAAAAGCTCCATGGTCAGGGAAGCTTGGAGAACAACCAGATTTTAAACAGAACCTCTCAGTGCCTGGCTGTATGCACTCTAAGATATAAAAAGCTGTTTTGTGCAAGAAAAGCTTTGCTGGTCTTCTAACCTTCAGAGACTTCAGACTGACCTGGTTCTGTGGGGCTTTCTGAGAGGCTCTCAGACCATATTTGGCCAGTGACTCAAGTGGGGAGTAGCGGGGGGTGCATTCCACAGACGTCCTGGGAAGCTGTCCCTGCCGATCCCTGTGTGGCTCTCGTGGCTGTTAACTGACGCCAGAGGGTCCCAGGTAACTTCTGTAGATAGCCATTGCTCGGGCTGTTTCTTCATCTATGAAGTGGGAAAGCTTAGAGAGACTCCTGTCTCCCTGGAGGGTCCTTCATCATCTCCTCCCTCTCCTCAGCTTGTGACTGCCCTTCAGGAAGCCCCCAGGACTGATACCACATAAAAGGAGACAAGGGACATGCACTCAGCCATACCCTTTCTGTGCACACCCGCAGGCCAGCCTGACAGTTCCACCTCAGACTCGCCCCTGGCTCCCTTTCTCCCAATTGGAGGTCACTGAAAATGAACCCCACCCCAACACCTCACTTGCAGGCCCCCAAATGCCAGCATCAGACCTGAGTGCCACATGGTCACAGTGCGTCACTGAGCCTCTTTCCCCTTCCTGCCCCACAGGGTGGTTGTGGGATTTGGGGAGTTACTGGGTGCAGAGCATGCAGACAGTGCGGTGTGCAGGAAGTGCTTAGCCCCCTGTGCCCAGAGTGGGAGGGGTGGCCACCTCTGTCACCTCCCCATTTCCCAGAGTACCGTCCTAGCCTTGACGTTGACAGCCCCTTGACGTTATATTGTCCTCAGATGGCTGTTTAGATCATCAAACAGCTTTGGAAGGATTTCTGAGATGCCCTAGCTGAGCTGAGGAAGGGCTTTCAGGCGCAGTGTGTCAGGAGACTTGGTAACAGGACAGACAGAGCCCCCCTCGCCGGCATGCCTGTGCCACAGCCTCTTGGCCCCAGATCCCATGGCGCATGTGTTTTCATTACCCCATTAATTGGAGCAAGAAAACAAGACCCAGTGTACGTTGTGTACATTGCAGCTCAGGTTCTGCAGGAGGGAGCAGGCTGTGCCAGGGCTGCCTGGTGCTCCCTGACTTGGGAAGGACCCCGGACCACAGGTCCAGGGCCGAGCTACTGCACTGACTGACCTCTGACCAGCAAGAGGGGACCGCAAGGCGGAGCCGGGCTTGGGCAGGGGCTAAGTGACAAGAGCTCATTGCAGCCAGATTGGCACTGCCCCTTCAAAAGCGTTTCTGACAGTACGCCAGGCCATCAGGGTCGGGGCTTGGGGACCCACATGGTTGTGCAGAACCTGGAGTGTGGCTTTCACAGGGCCCACTGATGGGGCCCAGGGCGGGGCTCCTTGCTCTGTGCGTGACTGGAAGTTCTCGTCGGCTCTTGCAGCTGTCTGTGCTGGGTTAAAGGCCTGGTACCCCAGGGCTCTGACCCCAGCCCTCCAAATTCAGCATTATGGTTCTTTTTCCCATAACGTACACTATAGTCAAGTGAACAATTCTACCAAGTTCCAAGACATTTTCATCAGCTCAGAAGAAAACCGTGTACCCATTAAGCAGTCACTCCACCTTCCCTCTTCTTCCCAACCCCTGGCAAGCAGTAATCTGCTTTTCATGTCTGTGAACTTGGCTCTCCTGGACCTCTCATGTTAACAGAAGTATACAGTAGGTGACCTGTCGTGTTGGCTCTTTGCACTTAGCTGACGTTTTCAGGGCTCACCCAGGCTGTGCCATGGTGTGGAAAACAAATTTGTGTATTTGTATGGACACATCAACAATGTTGATGGCCACGGGTGTTTCCACCCCTGGCTTTTGTGGATGGTGCTTCTATGAACAGGGGCATAGGAGTCCTTGTTACAGACCCAGGAGTGGAATTACTGCTCATGTGGTAATTCTGTGTGTAAGTTTTTGACAAAACCTTGCTTTTATTTCTAATGGATTGACCACCCTTCGTCCTATTTGGCCTCTGAGCCTTACTGCCCCCCAGGACTCAGGACTGGGGTCCTGAGTTTGTGGGCTACCTCCTGTAACCTCCTGGCAGACTTAGAGGCAACACAGTGCCCTCCCTGCCCTACATGCACCTCCTCCCAGCCAGGCACATACTCTCCCACCACATCAGTGACCAGCGGAGGATAGAGGCCTCATTGGTCCCATTTTGCACATGAGCAAACCGAGGCCCAGTGAGGCCATGTACTTCTCCCTAGGGCCACAGAGCTAGAAAGTCCTTGTTAGGATTCAAATCCATGTTCCCTGATCCCAAATCCTTCCCAAGGCTCCCCGTCCTCGGTGCCCCTTCCAGGGCCCAGGCTTGAGCCCGTGAAAATCTGTGCACCTGTCCCAGGCTGGCTGGGACGAGAGCAGAAGATGAGCCGCGTGGGCCAGTCCTTCTGGGTGTTGCAGGGACTAGAGGGGTAATGAGCACTTAGTACTTGCCCAGCTGTCGGTGGGGCTGAGGAGCAGCTGTGTGAGTGCTGCACTCTAGGTCTATGTTGACCCCTCCTGGAGGGAAGTCCTGACTTCCATGTGTGTGCACGCATGCAGCTGGACAAGATCGAAGGTGTGTTTGAGCGGCCAAGCGACGAGGTCATCCGGGAGCTATCCCGGGCGCTTCGGCAGGCGCTGGGTGTGTCACTCTTCGGGATTGACATCATCATCAACAATCAGACCGGGCAGCACGCGGTCATCGACATCAACGCCTTCCCAGGTAAGTGGTGGGGCCAGGAAGCACCTTCAGCCTATAGACCAGTAACCTTGGGCGATGGACAGGTGGACCAGCGCCCACCAACCCCATGCAGTCCCTCTAGGCCTCAGCCTCACCTGCAAAATGGGTTCATAGCATGTGGTGAGGTTGGCAAATGAGGTCAGTGCCTCCAGCCAGGAAGAACACGGGGTGCTTAGTGGGCCTGCACTAAACACATCTCACTCTCCTCACCTGACCCTGTGTTGTCAGCATGAGCCTTTGTTGGCCCACCAACCCTCGGCTCATCTGTTGGGTCCTTGTAGATTGAGAGTGGAGAGAACCCTGAGGAAGCACACCCTCCACGGTTTACCTGCAGGGAACGAGTCTCCTGGGGACGGAGAAATTACCCCAGGTCACGGTACAGGTTGGCAGCAGCACCATGCTCCTGCCCTGACCCTAAGCAGTGATTCTGGGGCCGGTCTTGGTGCTGGCTGGTTCCCTGTGGCTGCGACGCCCACTCCCTGCTGTCTGCCAGAGCCCAGAGGCAGGAAGCATGTGCCAGGTCCTCAGGGCTGCTGACACAGCCTGGCTCTGCCATGCTTCCCTTGTTTGGATCCAGCAAGGGGCTCAGGGGAGATAGGACCCACAGAACCCTTGGCAGGCCCAATCGCCTGCAGGGATGGTGCCGTGCCGTCCCTGGTCGGTGGTCCTGGGATGGGCCCATGTTCCATGGGGGTACCCCAAGGCTGACTTTCACCCTTTCAGCTGGCTTTGGCTGTGTGGACCGCAGGCTGGGTGCTTGACATGTGACGCTGTACTGTGTGCAGCCAGGCTCAGCCACCATCACAAGTCACAGCCAAGGAAACCAAGGCTGGTTGGACACCACTGGCTGGCTCTCTGTCATTCATTGGTTGACATGTGTTGAGGCCCTACTATGTGTCCCAGATGCTGCAGACACATGGTGCAGCATGCCCATGGCTGCCAGAGCCCTGCCCTCAAAGGACAGGGGTACCTGGGGCTCCTCCCTGAGGTGATGATATGGGAGCAGAGCCCGGCAGGAATGGAAGACCTACCCCCACCCAGGGTTCTGCGCGGGGTGGGGGGGATGGACGAGGAGGCATGAGAGGAGCCGGCCATGTGGTGTGGTGACAGCATGGGGTTTCACTCTGAGCTAGGTAAGAGTGAGCCGGTAGGGACAGTGGCCTGTGTTTCTCCAGTCGCTGTGGGTGCAGCCTAGATAGAGACCTGGGTGCTGCCAGAGGTGGGATTTTGATGAGTAAGTGACAGGACAAGAGACCAAAGGAATCCAGGGTACGTCGGGGACCAATGATGACATATCAGAGGCTCTAAACCAGGGAGGACACGGGTGATGACAGCAGAGTGGGAGCCGAGTCAGACTAATGGGAGGACAAGGAGGGGGCAATGCAGGGCTGTTGGGGTAGAAGCTCTAGGAAGATAGAGGTGGGACGTGGTGAGCGTTAGGAGCTCTGCAGTTGAGCTTTGGCTTTGCACAGGTCCTGAGAGACCCCCTCCCAGCGCGGTTCTGGCTCCACATCCTATGTGCCCAGAGGAGCACACTGTGAGCCAGCATGGGTGGAGAGGTTCCCAGCCACAGAAGATGAGACAAGGGCCACCCAGGTGGGGCCGGGAATGGAGGTCGGGTCACGGCAGCCGGAGCACCTTGGCCACCCAGCCCAGCAGAAACTGTCTTAGGGAGCCCGATGCCAGGGGAATGCCCTGGAGCCCAGGGGAGGCCGTGTCCAGGAGAGCCTGGGTCTGGAGCACTCGGGGTATATCCTGAGGGGTGCACACCGGGGAAGGCCACTTCGGGGCCCTGGGTGCGCAGTGGCACCCCGTCCAGGAGGCTGCCGCTGGTCATGGGAAGGAGCAGGAGCAGTAGCTACTAGTGGCGCACCAGGCCTGTGCTGAGAGCTCTGCTCTCATGTTCACAGCACGGCATGCAGTGAGCTCTTATGGTCCCCTTACCTGTGGGCACGTGGAGGTGGGGGCCGGTTGACCTGCCCAAGACCTGTGGCCCGCGCATGCTAGGAGCTAGGAGTGGAGCCCTGCCGCCTATTGCATGGCTTCCTGCCTCCCAGCTGAAGCTGTGGGTTCAAATCCTGGCTCTGCCCTCACAGCCTGTGATAGGACGAGCCACCAACGGGGATGTTGTCAGTGTCCGTTGTGCACAGCGGGAGCCGTGACTCCCACCTGCAGAGACGGAGGAGAGGACGTTGGCCCAGGGCTTGGCCCCCAGCTGCTGCCCCGCAGGGCTAGCTGTCACCTAGTCGGCTCCCCAGGCCTCGGGAGCTGGCCGCGTGGCTGGTAGCCAGTTCAGGCAGACCTCAGGGGCCTCCCCCGTCATCTCAAGGTCAGCCTCAGGTCTCCAGACCACCCCTGGGAGCCCCAGAAGCACATACACACCCAGCCCTGGGCCGTGTCTGGGGGCCACAGAGTGCTGGCTGAGCAGCCAGCTTGTGTTCCTTGCTGTTGGCTTGACTCTTGTCCAGCTCTCTGCCCTCCATTTGCATCCCTCCCTTGGAAACCTAGCCGTGCACCCGCTGTCACCCCCCTGGAGGCTCCGGCCACCCCTTCTTCCCTGGCTTCCACGTGATACCCTGGGCGCAGACGGTACCAAAGGGCTGATTGAGGTCCCGGCTCTGCCATCTGGGAGCTCTTACCTCCTCTAAACCCTGGGTAATCCCTGGGCCCCAGCCCCTGGGGCGGTGAGGAGGCCACGAGTGGGGCCCTTGTGCATGCAGCCCGCAGGCTGGCTCTCCCTGAGCCTGGGAATCCAGGCTCAACACAAACACGCATTCCCGCATCCATCCCCCTGCTGATGGGCTCAGTCCCTGACTCCGTGCCTCAGTCTCCTTATCTGCAGAATGGGAACAGCATTGTGAAAAGTGAGCAAGGGCACACAGAAGCATGGGGCATGTCAACTGGTTTACCCATTTTTATTTTTGTTGTGGGCACGTCTGTGTTCCCCCTTGAAGCCTCGGGCACCTCAAAACGACAGCAGTTATTTGCTGGACAAGTCAGATGGTGGACAGGCAAGGCCACCTCTGCCACCTGGCGTGGGGGGGCTCTTCTGTGGGGGGGGGCTCTTCTGTGACAAGGAGTGCGCCCTGCCCATTCCTGAGGCTTATTTTCAGCCAGCCTGTGTCGACAGCAGTGAGGGCCCTGCTCCCTCTGCCCTGCCCCACCCTGTGGTGGAGGTCACAGTCATGTGGGGAGTCAGCAGTGCCTGGAGCCCCTTCCAGGCAGGCACACACACTCTGCCCTGTTCCTGGAGGCCTCGGTTGGTTTGGGACAGTGCTGGGTGCCCACTCACTGATGTCTTTGAAATTGTTTGGGAGTAGGCAGAGTCCTGGCCCTGATGGCACAGCGCTCAGTGGTGGCCTGAGGAGCAGTTGGCTGACATTGCCTTTGTGTCTGTCTTGGGGGTTTAGCATGGGCTGTGGGGGAGCCCAAGCCCCACTGTGTTCAAGGCTCAGTTGTGGGCATGCAGGGGCCCCTTGGGGGCCTGGTCTCGGTCTGCTGGCTTTGATGCCCCGAGATGTGGCACAGCGGTGCCCCCGCAGGGACTTGGGGGTGAGAGGGCTGCAGACTGTTCCCAGAGCAATAGCTGTTGATCCAGGGTCGCTGGGTCGTCTCCCCCCGAGATCTCGCGGTTTACAGAGGAGGAAGCTGAGGCCACGTGGAGAAGGAGCTGTTTGTGATAGAGCATGTGTGCAGTGGGTCTCTGGAGCTGCCCTGTCCCCTGTGCCCGTCCCCCTACCCCCCAAGCCTGGCCCCTCCCCCCATCTCCTGTGCCCTGTCCCCTGTGCCTCATCTCCCGTCCCCCATGCCTCATGCCCCATCGCCCGTGTCTGTCCCCCATCCCTCCACGCCTTTTCCCCCACGTGCATCACAGCATACTGGTGGGGGGGTGTGAATACATGAGACACGAAGCTGTGCCTGAGAGGGACAGGATGCAGGGCGTCTGCCCATCCACTCCAGCGTAATAGCATTTCACGCCCTGGGCTCAGCCAAATTCCAGGACTAGCCTTGGGCCCCACTCCCACTCTGAGTCTAGGCTTGGTAGCTCCAATTTGTCCCCTTACCTACCACGCCTTGGTCTCTCGGTCCTCAGCACACCCACCGTGACTCTAGGAGCCCCAAGGTGGGCCTGCTCTGTCTGCGGCCACGTTTACACCCCAACCTGGCTCAACGCCCCCCCCCAACCCCATCTCTCTCCCCCACACACAGGCTATGAGGGCGTCAGCGAGTTCTTCACAGACCTCCTGAACCACGTGGCCACCGTCCTGCAGGGCCAGAGCACAGCCACAGCGGCCGCAGGGGATGTGGCCCCACTGAGGCACAGCAGGCTCCTGGCGGAGCAGGCAGGCAGCCTGGCAGGTGAGCGGACGTGCAGCGCTGGCCCTGGCTGCTGTGGCAGCATGATGGGCCCGGACCCACCCTGGACGTCGGAGGCCGATGCGGGCGGCATGGGCACGGGCGGCACCGCCAAGCTCCCACACCAGAGACTTGGCTGCACCGCAGCCGTGTCCCCCAGCTTCCAGCAGCACTGCGTGGCCTCACTGGCCACTAAGGCCTCCTCCCAATAGCCATGGAGACCAGGACCAGAGGGCGGCGTGAGCCGCGGGGTGCACCTGCCGGGCAAGCAGCTCCCAGCAGCGACGCTCCTACTAAGAATTCCCAGCGATCTGATTCTTCTTCTTGTTTTATGTTTGGTTTTTATTTTTAATTTTTAACCTGATTTGCTGATGTCATGATCGAAATAAGGGGTGGTGGAGGGGGAGATGGAAGGGCACCCCAGTGGTCCAGCCTCGGGAAAGATGGACATCCCACCTGGTACCTGCTGTGCAGATGTCTTCACTGGGTTGACACTTGTTGTGTCTTCAACACTAGGTCTGAGTGTGAGGTGGGTTGTGCGTATGCATGTGCGGCTGCTATGTGTGTACGAGTGCGTGTGCACATCCACGTCTGTGTGTCTCCATGGCTGCTGTGGACCCCGTGGGGGCCGCCCCTGTTTGGGTGCTTGGCGGCCGACAATGCACGAGGGTTCCTCCTGTCTTCTCCAGCCCCCGGCACGCAGGCCCAGCCCCCTCTCTGTTGCCTCCTGTTGGCCACCTCCACAGCTGTGGGAGGAACAGGGCCTCACGCTGTGGCCAGGGGAGCTGCTGGGTGTTGCTCCCCAGAGCAGGAGCCAGACGAAGCAGGAGGTGCACCCACTCCTTCCTTGAGGGGGGTCCCACATAGGGTCTGGGCTGTGGTCCACCTGTGGCCCACTAACGAAAGGATGCTGCCCAGGGGAGGCCGAGACCTTGAATTGGCTTCCCATCTCCACATCTGGCACCCTAGGCCTCCAGGCCCTTCAGCATGGGTCCCGTGCAGCCCTGCAAGGGTCGGGGGGGCTCCCTCCCTGACCACACGTGGCGCCTGGGACCCATGAGGGGCCCCAGGCTGATCCTGTCTGTGCCAAGGATTTGAGCTGTGACTGGACAGATCACCCCAGGTGTTGCTGGGCCTCAGTGTCCTCCTGTGTAATGAGCACTTGAGACCAGAGACCTCTGGCAGGCAGGCTGGATGCCCTGCGCCCCGCGGTGGGGCCTGCCTGCCTGAGAAGTCAACCCAGTGCACCCCCTGGCATCAAGGTGGCTGAGGCCCGCTTCCATGGCCAGGAGGGCTGCCTCTGCGCTTCACATCTTCTGACACCTGCCCTGCGGGCCCTCCTGTACTCACCATGAGCCCCAAGCACAAAGCCGGCCAAGTGTGAAGGGAGCTGCGGCCCCAGGAGTGAGGAAATATTCACCCCCTCCTCCATGCACGGCAGATGCCACCAGCCCCTTGGGCACCACCCACGGTGCTGGTGGGGCACCACCTGCCTCTCCGCAGAGAAGGTGGCCAGCGAGGACCTTCACCAGCCCTGGGACAGGGTGAACCAAGGCAAAATGCAAAGGACCCGGTGAGCATGACCTTCAGATACCCTTTTACTTGGAGAAGGTGGGAGAGGCCTCCAGGCTGTCCTTTGTGGCCCTGTGAGGACGCTGCTGCGAGGCCTGGGGGTGGGGCAGTACCTTCAGGCTCAGCAGGGGCGGGGTGGGGGGGGTGCGGAAGGGCCGGGTGGTGACCGCCATCAGGCAGGACTGGGCCGGCTGAGGAACCCCGTGACCCGAGGACCCACTGACTAACCGCGTTTACACGACTTGAGTGTTGAACCCTGATTATAATGTCTGTATGGCGCCTTTCCTAGTCCAACCCTGAGCCCCGGGGAAGCGGGAAAGTGTGGCTGGCCTCTTGCACTGCTTTGTCTCCAAAATAAACTACTGAAATCAAACCGCATTTCACACGTGTTTACAAATGTTGCTAAAAATTTCCATTGTTCTGGACTGTTAATAAAACAGCTTTGCTCTCTTAAATGAAACTCCAACCCTGATCTGCCTCAGAACAGGTGGTGGGCAGGGGGGGGGGGGGGCGGTGCCATGTGACCCCCGAGGCCTTTCCGTGCTCCTGTGTACCTGAGGTCCACCCCTCAGGTCACCCAAGCTCGGCTCCAGGGCCCACGCAGCAAGTAACTCCCCCACTGGCCCCGATGCGGTTGGCGAGCAGGGTGACCATGGTTTCCAGAAGTGGAATCGAGGGAGGGGTTCACTTCCTAAAGACTGGGAGTGCCAGGTGGTGGGAGAGGGGAGGCCTGCCCCTGGAGCACACAGGCTGCTCCTGCCCCGGCTGTGAACCCGTCCAGCAGACCCTGGCCATCTCTGGTTGAGGGGCCTCAGGAGCAGATGAGAAGGGAGCATGAGTCGCCGGTGGTGGTGCACCGGCCCCAGACCTTCCCTCGCAGGGTCCCTGGGGGCTCACTGACAGCTGTGGGTCCCAGGACACTCCACAGACCTCCTGTCTCCTCAGGCTCTGCAGTGTCTGCGTCAGGGAAACGCAGAGCCACTAGGATGCTCCTTCCTGAGGGTTGCTGGTGCTGCCTCTGGACCAGAGGCCCTGGAACCTTGTGGGGCCCCTGGCGGGGGCGGGGGAGTCGGCTGTGCTGTGCCCGCGTTGCGCCTGGAGCGGCCCTGCGGGAATCAGGACGTCAAGACCCTCGTTCCCAAGCCTCTGCCGGGTGGTGGGCATGTAGGGGTCTTCAGGGGATTCAGTGCCCGGGGCTGCTGAGCACACAGCCGATGTCAAGGGCTCCAGGAACAAGTGCCGGCAGGGCGGGGTCAGGGGTCACTTGCAGGGTCTCAGCGCTGGGCAGTGTGGAGCAGGAACCTGGGATCAGGTCTGCTTACAGATGCTGCGATTCCGCGGACAGTGCACAGGCCCCTGACCCTGTCCTCCGGAGGGCCCGGGCGTTGTCCTGGCCTGGCGTCCTTCCCTCCCCAGGTATTCATCGGAGCTCTGCAGTGCGTGGTGCGGTGGGCCGGGCCTGGAGCCGCTCTGAGGCCAGGCGAGACTGCGTGTCCTTGTCCTGATCTGGGAGCCCACATCGGCTCAAGCCCCTGGGGTGTGCTCGTGCCTCTGCCCCTGGACAGTCACTCACGTGGAGGGACCCCTGATGGCTCCCTGAGCCGTGTGCTGGCCGGCCACGAGGCGGAGAGCTGGCCTGATGCCTGACAAAGCGGCTGGGCTTCTACCTCCCGGGTCAGCCTGGCTGCGCCCTAGCCCTCGCGTCTCCCTGCCGAGCCCGAGCCCGAGCCCGAGCCCGAGCCTGCATCGACGTGGCTAAGGTTCCAGAGCAGCCACGCTCCCATTGGTCTTGCCCTCCGCGAGGAAGGGCGTCCACCTCTGTGTGCACAGGGCCGCCGGTGTGAGCTCGGGGTGATCCCCCGCCCGCCCCAGACACAAGCTGTTCCCAGGACTGTTAGTGAGGTGGGACCCCGGCGCCCTCCCTTCTGCTCCCCGAGCACCTGCCCCTCCCCAGGCCCCCAGGGGCCTTTCCCGGAAAGCATTGCCTTTCCCCTTCACTTGCAGACTTATCCATGATGTGACCTGAGGGCCGGGAGAGGCCGACCTCTCCTCCAGAGCTGTTTGTGCGATCACACCCTGTCAACATCTGTTTTTTCTCAAAAAGCTCCTCACATGGCGACTTCACCAAAAATGTGGCGTTTCTTGTGACACCTGAGCTTTGTGACAAATGCTAAGTCCTCCTCACAAGCGACAAGCAACATTTCCCAGAACCCTGAGCAGCTTTGTATCTGATCTGTGAACATACACACATACGATGTTTCTATGAATGTACATCCTGTATGTAGAGTCACGGCTTCTGGAAGAGCCAGGACACATCTGCCGGCCCTTTGGGTTTGGCTTCTCCACGTGATTATGACAGCGCAGGTGGCCATCTTTGGGGTGGGTTATTTCAGGGACAAGGGGACCTCTTGTTTTCTCTGTTAACTGGCCTCGGTAGCAGGTGTTTTGATCTGACTGCCTGGTGGAACACGGTTGATGTGGTGTGTGTCATTTCTGTCACTGTTGGGGGTGGAGCACACCCTTGAAATGTGTGAAGACATAAACGTCTTATGGCACCAGCTCTTCGTGGGGGTGTCCCTCTGTGCCTCGGGGTGCTTAGCAGCCGCAGTGGGCACCCCCCGCCAGCCTCATCAGTGAGGCCCAAAGGTGGCCAAGACCCTTCACGGATTCATGTCATCATGGTCATGGTTTTGTGGCCCTGGGCCCTCTGAATCCCTGTCACCATCTGATGAGGAAATAAGTATTCCATTTTTCAGATGAAGAGACTGACGTCCAGGGATGCAAGGTCGCGGACCCAGAGTCCCATGGCTAAAAAAGTAGCCCAGAAAGGATTTGCTCCAGGGAAGTAAACCTCCCCTTGTCCCTTTGCCTGAATCCAACCCCATCTCACCCTCCCCCACTCTGAGTCAAGAGGGGGAAACGGTCACAGAAACCAGAAAGAGCCCAGAGCAGATTTATTTTTCCTTAGATAAATTTTGTAAAGAATACATTACAGTCAGGAATTCTCAGCTTTCAGCAAAAGGTTAGAAGTTATTGCAGTTGCACCCAATGGCTCTGATGGTGGGAAGGAAACTTCTAGAAATCTGCTTGTGTCTCGCGAGAAAAGACAACCGGTTAAAGTCGTGGAGGGTCCGCCCTTGCAGAGGGGCGCACAGGGGCGGGAATTGGGAGCAGGAGGAAAGGGGTGAGGGGGCCAGGGTGGCCTGGGTTTGGGGCAGGCTGCAGCAGCCTCCCTACCAGCAGCTGCACCTGGCCAGGACCTGCGGGGGGAACAACAGAGCCAGGACCACCGGCTGCCTTGGGGCCCTGGGTGGGGGGCTGGCCGGCGGGTCAGCCCCGCCGCAGCGCCTGCAGCTGCTGGGCCACCTTCTCCAGCTCTGCCTCGATGGTCGTCAGGATCTCCAGCTCCTGGTCCTAGGAGAGAACAAACGAACATCAGGTCAGGCCAGGACAGGCCAGGACAGGCAGGCGGCGTGGAGGGCGCGGTCCTCCAGCCTGGCTGTGCCGTGGCCGCTGTGTGGTCTCAGATGGGTAGCTCGGCCTCTCTGCTCCATTCCCACCGTGGGGACAGAGATGCTGCCCTGCTGGGGTTACTGGGGGTTACTGTGCAGAGAACTGGAGGGGACAGGGCCTGACTCCACCACCCCCGGTGGCCTCCTCCCTGGTGGCTCTGGGCGAACCCAGGGAACACAAAGCCTCCAGTGTTCCTCCTGGCCTGAGGGGCTGTGGGGATACGGGAGCTGCCCAGCCTCTACCTGCTGGGGGCTGGGCCTGGATCCTTAGCCCCAGTCACAGGGGCCCCAAGGTCTGCCTGCCAGGGTGGTGCCAGGCAGGGCAGCCCTTCGTGAGCCCTGCTCTGCGCTGCAGCCTCGGGGAGCTGCCAGGACCGCCAGAGCTGGGACCGGTGCCCACACACCTGGGACTTGGAGCCACAGTTAGGGAAGGCCATGCCCCACCCCTGGTGGTGACCTTGGGTCCCTGCTGCATGCCAGGCAGGACATGGAGGAATCCACCGGGCCCTGGTTAGGGGCCCTAGAGCTTCTGTCTTGGAGCAGCCCCTGGGGCATGAGTTTCTGTGATGCTGGAGCATTTCTGAGGAGACCCTGGGGCTGGTGGGGAGGAGGCCCTGCCCTGCCCTCGTGGCTCTGGGGTCCCCATTTCTCTGCCCGGCAGCCCAGGGATTGCTCTGCCTGTGGAGACAGGAAGCCGGCAGGCCCCTCACGGCACTCCGCTGTCTCCAGCTTCTGAGGGGAGAGTGGGGGGAAGGGGTGCTCAGAGGTGCCCAGGCTTGTCTTGGACCAAAGCTAGGTGGGGGCAGTTTCCTGGGGATGCATCCTGGTTCCGGCTGCCAAGGAGGTACCACGAACCTGGTCACAGCCCAGAAAGATGGTTGGGACCTGAGGAAGGAGCCACGTCTGTGTCAGGATGGGCAGACGGCACTGGGGCCACGGAGAGGTCCCTGCCCTGCAGGGCAGCAAGGGCTGGACCACAGACCCCAAAGGCCGCCTCCAGCTGCAGGGCAGTGTCGCCAGCCTGCCGGGGGGACCCAGCTTCCGCCTCCTCACCTCTGCAGCTACGTCCCAGCACACCATCGAACTAACGGGGTAGCCCTGCCCGTAGCCAGGCTGTGAATGCTCCTATATTCGGACCACAACAATGAGGTGAGCAAGGAAGGTCACCTTGCTCCCATTTCTCAGATGGGGGAAACAGAGGCTCAGAGAAGGGGAATGACCTGCCCAAAGTCACACAGCTGGCAAGAGGCAGAACCCAGGTCTTCTGGGGCCTCCGTGCCTCCCTCACCCCCTCCCCACCAGGCCTGAGGTCCCGTGGCCGACCCTGCCGCAGGAGAGGAGGCAGGGTCTGAACCTAGGGGAAAGTGTGCCTCCCAGGAGGGGTGTTGCTGGATCACTGTGTGCAGGGGCTTCCCTGGCCTCCCCGTCCTCTAGGGCCCCCGGGCCTGGCCCTACCCACTCTCAGGGCCAGTGGGGCCTCCCCAGGCCGGTCCCTGCCTGGTGCTTTCCGTTCCCGAGCTCCCTCTGCGCAGCTGCACTCACTCCAGCCCCTCCCGCTGCGGGACAGAGACCTCCCTGCCCGGAACATTTCCCCAAGCCGCCTGCAGCCTGTGAGCCAGACTTCACTCACCCTCCCACCCCCCTGCCCTCCCCGCCCTGCCCCCCTCCCCAGAGCCCCCCACCCCGCCCCATCTGTGTGCCTCTTCGGGCTCAGACCCCCGAGGACTGGCCATGTCCCCTCCGCGGGGCAGGACCGCACATCTGGCTGGCCCGCATTCTGGAGGCCTGGCCTGGGGCTGGAGCCCGCCCCGTACCAACCTCTGGCCTGCGGTTGGCGCTGCCCTCCTCCTCCTTCTTCTCCTCCACATAGCCGCGCACCTGGAGGGGCAGACTCGCCTCCACGCTGTCCTCCCGGGAGGTCGGCCTCCAGCCTCGACGCAGCGGCAGCCCAGGCCCCCTGAAGTCGTAGGCCCGGGCGCGGAAGGAGAGCTTCATGGAACGGTCGGGGTCGTCGTCCTCGTCCTCCCCCTGCAGCCCCTTCTTGGCCGTCAGCTCCTTGGCCAGCTGGTCCATCCTCCATCGCTTGGCACCCTCCCAGTCCTTGGAGAGCTGCTCCTCCTTCTGTTCCTGCTCCAGCTCCCCGTTCTTCCCGCCCCGGAAGAGGCCTCGAGGGGCCTCTGCCATCTCCTCCTCTTCCTCCTCCTCCTCCTCCTGCCGGGAGTGCTCCCGCTCTCCCTCTCCCTCGGGGGGCCGAGCCTCCTTAGCCCCTGTCTTCCCGGCTTCGTCCACAGCCTGAGCCTCGGGCCAACCTGGAGCAGGTGGTGCACAAGAGCAGGAGAATGAAGGCGGGAGCACCGCCCTGGCCCCTGCCGCTCCCCAGGGCCTCCGGCCATTGCTGGGACCGCAGACCACAGCCAGGTCCAGCCCGGCCTCCCCGTGATGATCCTCCTTGGAGGCAAAGGCCGTCTTGATACCGCACTTTGCAAGAGCCTCTCAAAGCTCAGAGGCAGGTTGGCCAGAGCCTGCGTGTTCTATGGGCCCTTCCTCCCAGAAGTCCCCGATCATGGGGCCCCAGCTGGGGAGCCAGGAAGGTCCCTGACAAGGCCCTCTGAGGAGCCAGCAGCTCCCCTAGACCCTGGGTGAAGCTGACACCGTCCCCCAGCCCAGCCCGTTTTCACCTGTCCCTCTGTTCCCACTCACCCTCTCGTCTCCTGGGTTGGAGGGGAGGGGCCGTGTAGAATAGTGAGAGATGCAGGGTTTGGAGTCACACAAACCTGGGCTGGAATCTCTGCTTTTACTACAAATCAGCTGTGTGAGCTTGGGCAGATTACTTAACCTCTCCGAGCCCGTTTTCCATGTGGAAAAGAGCTAATACGACCTCCCAGGATTGCAGTGGAGGTGGAATGAGAGAGTGGATGAGCCCCCCTCCCCCACGCACTTGTTAAGGCCTCAGGCATCATACATACTCTCACCCCTGTCGGTCTCCTGGTGGCCGAGGTTTGGGTGGGGGTTAAGTGCCTCCGTGGGGTTTTCTTCCTCAGTCGCAGCCTTCTCTCCAGTCTCCTCCTCTTCCTCCTCCTCCTCCTCCTCCTCCTCCTCCTCTCGCTTTGCCTGCTGCCCTTGCTCTGCACCCGGGCCCTTCTCTGTGTCCACCAGGCCCTGAGAGAGGCCCTCGCTGTCTTCCTCGGCCTGTGAGTCTGGGTGTTTCTGGCCGGAAAGGCTGGCTGGGGAGTGAGTGTTGGCAGCCTCCTGCTGCCCTGGGGCCTGGCTGTCCCCCTCGACCTGGGGCCCTCGTCCAGGCTCCTGGGAGGCTTGGGGCCTGGCTCCGTCTGTGTCTCCATCATTCTCTGTCTCTTTAGGATCCTCTCTTTTCTCCACAGCATCCTTGGGGGATGCTTCTCCCGTCACCTCTGCAGAAACAACAGGCCCTGAGGACCAGGCTGCACCTGGGGTCTCCCCCGATTTCAGAACTCAGTCATTGAATCTCTGGGCTTCCAGTGAGTCCCACCTGAGACACTCATGACAATTAGTGTTACCTGCTCCATGTCTGGGTCTGACCCCAGCACAATGGGTATGTGTTTCTTTCTTTGTAATTCTACTTCTTAAAGCAGGAAGTGATTTTAAAAAAATAAAGACCTTGAAAATGATCCCAGAACTAAAAATTAGGACATCAGCTGAATTGCTATGTGATCTTGAGCAAGTGCCTTAACCTCTCTGTGTAAGAGGCACCATTGTTGCAGCTTTGTTCTCCCCTCCACATGAGCTTCTCTGCCTTGAGTGTCCTTTGGAAGTGCTCCATCCCTAATTGTATGGGTTCGTTAAAAGGCATTTTCTGGTGGCTGCCTTGAAGGTACCTTTTAACCAGGAAAAGTAAACCCAGCACTGTAACCAAGTACATTCCACCACTTGACTCTGGGCCCCCAGGTCCAAGTGTCCCCATCCTATCTACAGAAACGCTGCCCGACCCGTGGACAGGCACGGTGACCTGTCCATGCTCACTGTCTGTAAGCAGAAGGGCCTCCAAGTGCCACATGCAGGTGACGCATAGCTGCCTCCCCAAATGGAAGCCCTCAGAGACCCCTGATCCTTGGAACTGGCCTGTCCCCCCACCTTCCACATGCAAAGGGCAGGCCCAGCGGAGGTGGTTTGTGGCTGTTGCCAAGCAGGAGGACGAGTCCTGGGGCATCCCCCGTGACCTAAGCCATGATCTCTTTAACCTTAGAAGCTCTCTGGCTTCAAGAAAGATGATCCAGGTTCATTTAGTATTTGAGTCTGGGATCCTCATACATCAGGACTGATGCTGAGGCACCACCAGATCCCGGGGGACAGGTGCATCTGTAGTGATGCTGCTTAAAGCACGCTGGGCCTCAGTTTCTCCATTTGTGCAGGATAGATTAAAATGAGAGCTAGCTGCCTGACAGGCCCTAACGGAGGGGCTCCTTACCCCCTCCCAATCCTTATAAGTACTGCTCCTACATCCTCTCTCCCCCACTTCTGGCTACACTGGCGGCACTGACCTTTCCGCTCAGCCTGGTCATTCTGCTTGTCAGGAGCCTCTGCGAGTCCATCCTCAGAACCGCTGTGTTTCTTCTGATGTGCCCTCTCCTTGGCACCTGGTATGAGAGAAGGAGGGGAAAAAAAGAAAAGAAGAACAAAGTCCAACTTGGCCAAGCCCAGCCCTGGCATATTTGCGAGTGACGGCGTCCCTTTCCTTCTGTAAACCGGGCACGTGGCACTCCAGGCCTGCCCGGTGGGATGAGTCAACGCCAAGTCCGGGGGCAGGGGTGCTAGCTCCCCGCCCCCTCCCAGCCAGGGCCCGTCGCAGCCACAGCCCCTCTCCACGCACACATTTCTCCTACCTGGGAAATGAGGACAAGCCTCGCCTGCTGCCTCCAACAGCAACAAAGATGGAGCCGAGGGTCCGGGGAGCAGAGCGTGAGGGCCCCTCAGTACTGACTGGTAGGATCCCTCCTACCAGGTCCCTCCAGGACCCTGTCAGGCCTGGCCCTTGGGCAGCAGCTGCCTGAGCTTCTGCCAGGATCCGCAGGCGGCCCTCTCCTTGCCTGGGCCCCGGGCTCCTGCCTCTGTCCCCACCCGTGCCCGCTTCCTGATGACGGCCCCCCGGCCAGGCCACCTCTGCAGATGCTGCTGCAGTTTTCACCAGGCTGGGAATCCCTGGGGTGGGTGGAGGCACCGGCACATCGGCTGTGGGCCGCAGACGCGGACCTCGGGTCACGCCTCCCGGGGGCTCGTTCCTCACCATGTGATGTGGGGTGGTGAGCTAGCCGAGGTGCGGGTGCCCACGAGACAGTCTGAGTGCAGAAGAGGGAGTGGACGGGAGGACGCGCGGGCAGGCAGACAGGCGGACACGTAGCCTCATCCCGTACTCTTACTAGAGAGCAGTGATGCGTGTGCGCATCGAGAAGGTTCGTGTTGGACACGCACATCCATGTGTGCAGACACGCCAGGACACGTACCCCTGGAACAGTCTCCGTTGACTTGATTTAATTATTTAACTGTAATAAGTCAGTCATTCAATATTTAAGTTTTAAATTATCATATTGCAATAAAATATTTAATGTTTAGCTAAAAAAAAACCACCAGGGTCAATGAAGATGAAATGGATGAGACAGGCGGTGGTAGCCAGGCCCCAGCCAGCACCGCGCCAGGCACTCACTTTAGGCTCCCGGTGGCCGCGTGACCGGGTGCCTGCCGTCCATTCACACTCGTGGCGGGTCTTCCCGTGGGCCCTAGACTGCGGCCTTCCCGGAGCCGGAGCAGCCTGCGCACCTCCCACCTCACCGCACCCACAGAAACCCAGCCCCGAAAGTGAGCCCTCACGTCAGTGGACGTAGATGCAGATCTCTGGCAGAGGGCCAGTGCCTGGGGAGAGGCACAGCGCCAGCAGCCGCTTCCCACAGGGCATCACCTTGGAAAGATGCAAGGCCAGGACCCATCTTTTTTCAATGTACCAGGGACATCTCTGTGACTTACATGAACCACATGTGAAGGAATCTGGGAAGCAATCTGGGCATGGGCATCCACGAGATGACATCAGCCTAACTCTCCATCCCAGCATCCTACCTGGGTTCTGCTTGCATAGCCTTAGTGACAAGGAGCTCACTACCCCCACCCACAAAGTCACTCCATTCCCAAGAGTATCACTGGATGTTTCTGAATCTCTGAGAGAAAGACATACTCGACTCTAAAACATGCTGAGAATCTGGTCTGTGTTTTGGGGGCAAGCAAGACCTTGCTTTCCCCATCCACTCCTTGAATAGAAGCTCACAAGTGGTAATGGGCCCCTCCTTTTTCCTGGAGACCAATTTGCTTTTCAGTTAACAGAGGAAAGGGATCCTCTCTGCAACGTTGTCTTAAAAGTACCCCCACCGAGATGACTGATACCCAGAGACAGCAGGGTATCAGGAGAGCTACATCTTGGCATGTCCTTAACTTACTGTGTGACCTTGGACAAGTCACTCAACCTCTCTGGGCTTTTATCTCTTTAACTGTATCAATGACAAATTGGGACAGGGAAGAGCCCACCTTCCTCCTCTATGTTGGCAGGGAAATAACTGAGTCAGAGAGAAACAGGACCTTGCTCAAACTTCCATCCTGGTTTTCTATCAATTGCTGGAATTTATCCAGATTCCTATGCAGAGACTGGAAAATACCTTGGAGAGCAAGGTCTTGGAGCTCTTTCAGCAAATTCTGATGTCGCAGGATTGAGAGGATCCGTTCATCTGCAAGGAGGGAGAGTCGTTATGAGTGGTTTCCAGAGAACAGCCGAGAAAGAGATTACCATCAATTTTCAGCTGAGCACAAGTTTATTTTGGAAACTGAAAACCTGGGGAGCAGCCGCGAGATTGCATCTTGAGATAACACAGTGGAACTGGCTGCCCTCCCAACGTCACTGCTTCCTACGGCCTCAAGAGGTCAGGCACCAGCCCAGCGCCCAGGCCTCCGCGGGAGAGCCCAGGCCCTCAGGTGCGGCCGGGGGTTGTCTCTACACCGTGTTCTACCCTTTCTTGACTTTTCTATCCGTTGGTTTCTGACTCTTCCCGGACGGTCCGCCCCCAGTGCTAATAGTGGACCCTCCAACAGCTGGGCAAGACTCAACTGCTCAGTTGGAAACACTCCGTCCTTGTCACGCCCACAACACTCCTTTCCTCATCACAAACCTACAGACTATCTGCCTGGCACCAGCTGTTCTTGGCTCTGGAGATATCATAACACAACATCTCTGTCCACAGGGTAGACCAGGTGGCCTGCTGCTCCGGCCTTGGTTTCATTCCACCCAGAATTCTAGTTAATTGTGTTCCTATCTGTTCTATCTGCTGGTCTGCAAGCTCCAGGAGCTGTGACCCACCCCTCCCCCTCCCTGTACCACTTCAACACTAGCACAAGCCCAACCAGGGCAGGCACTTGATTGGTGACTGTTGAATTAAATCATTGAATTCTGCCAAAAGCCACAGACCTGTATCCTCACCTCCCAGCCCCAGGGGCAGTGCGCCGCCACCCCCACCCCCACCCCGCCGCCCCCAGCCTTGCCTGTACCTCCTCGGAGTGTCTCAAAACACTCCTGGCTGATGGGCACGGGACTGGGCTTGGAGAGTGTGTCAGAGATGACCTCAACGATGCACTTCATCACCTAGGAAGAGAGCGGGGGCACGCTGGGGCTGGTTTGTGTTTGGGGCTCAGCTCCAGGACAAATTCCTAATGAGAACATAGGACCATTTGCTTTTGTCTTCAGGAGTCCCTGGATGCCTGTCTCAGACGCACAGCTCTGCATTCCCAGCCAGACAATAAGAGCAATAATAGAAACCCCTTAGATGGTGTTTGCCATGTGCCAGGCACTCTAATGATATAGCCAGCAGGTACCCCTCAAAGGTGAGACATGGTGGGAGCTGAGTACTGGGTACCCAGTACCACATGTCTCTCTAACGATGGGGAAGCTGCTCCTGAGCATTAAGGTATGTCTTTTAGAAGTACATTAGTCTTGCAGCTGCCTCAAAGGTCAACTACCTCCAGGAAGTACTTCTGGACAGCCCAGAGAGCAAAGACCTTCCCTAGCTCTACCCTGTCTGGAAACAGGACTTGGGTCACTCTCTCCCAAAATCCATGGTGTTGTTACACGCAGGGAGTGACAGCCTCATGGTCTGGATTTATATTTACCCTGGGGATAAATCCTGTGGCTGGATGTGGGCTCACATCAGCTACATCTGGGTGCCTGCCCCAGGCCAACAGCAGCCATATCTCTGAACGTTTTGTCCAGTGCCCAGCAAGGTGCAGTGGGTAATTAGGCAGCTGATACATGGATATTTGAAGGGAGTGGCAGCTCCCATGCTGTATCCACACTGGGTGATCTTGAACATATGACTTGACCTCTCTGAGCCTCAACTTTCTCATTTGTAAAATGAGAGCAAGAAGACTTTCCCAACTCCCCTCCCAGGGTGATCAGACACAGATGGGAAAACACTCTATAAAGTGTGAAGTGCCACACACACCAAGGGAGGGATTCACAACTCTCCACCTGTTTTGGCTGCCTAGAGCAGGGCAGAGAAGCAGGAGGTGTCAGACATGCATTAGGCAATGCTGGTGGGGAGTGAGGGGGTGGCAGGCTGTGTTTATGTCATGCCAAAGCAACCCATCCAAAAATTGAGGATGGCAAACTGGCAAACAGGCGCTGCAGTAGTCACAGCATCATAGGATGGAATATTTAGGTCTTCACTAGCTGTTATGGTGCCCCTGACCCCAGGCTGCTGGGTCCAGTATGGTGACCATGAAGGATCTGGTAGGAAGGGCCCTGCAGCCTGTACCCTGCCTCCCCCTGTAGCTGTCGACCTTACACTGGGAATATCAGATAATCAGCAGTCCATGAGGACAGACTTTGGGAGAGAGAAATTGGGTATGGGTCCAAAGAATAATAAGGATCTCAGAGGGGAAGCTCTAGGTGCCCATTTACCGAGGACCTGCTATTTGCCAGGTGCCTTACATCTATGATTCCTACACTCACAATTTCCCTCAAGGGAAATACTATAGATGGATAAAGGGGCAGCTCAGAAAAATTAAGGAATTTTACCAAAACCACACAGTGGTAGAGGCCCACATATAGGCCTGTCTGCAAGGAAAACACATGAAATATAACTAAGCAAATAGAGGTTGAAATTGCTTTGATGTTTTGGGTTTAACCATAGCCCCTCTGGAATGGAAGAAAACAGGCCCTGAAAAGGTAGAAATGTATCTGAGTTGCAAGTGAGGGTCTGTGAGCACCAGAGACTGGAAAAAGAACCCCAGCCCAGACATGAATGACTTCCAAGTACACACCCAACAGAGATCGTCTCACTGGCTACAGGTTCCCACTAGTATCTCCTAAGGCCCTTTCCTGGCTGATGTCTACCATCAGCCCCAATGGCCAGGCCCCCGGGTGCAGAAGCCATGGTCAAGAGTGTTTTTTTCGTGGCCTTTGGGAGAGCTGGGGCCTGAGGGCCTATGCAGCCTGGGGCGGGCAGGGGGGGGCGGGGGGGCTGGTGGGGACTGGGGATTGCTGGCAGAGCCTGAGGAGGAGGAGAAGCTCAAAGAGGGAAGCCAGAGCCAGAGAAGTGAAGACCATTCTTGCAGGTCTGCGGACAACCATAACCACAGGGAAGTGCCCCCCAGCATCTCATGCAGGGCCTGCAGATTTGGAGCATTCACAGCAACAAGCCTGGCATCTTGGCCCAGTAGCTAAGAGCCAGGCCCCATCGGCAGCATACCCAGCTCAGAAGAAGCTGGGGAAGTCCCCACAGCGGGATGGCAGGGAAATCTAGCAATCTTTGATATCTTCTTTTACAAGCTGTCCCCAGGCTCAGCAGCCGCAGTGCTGGCTCTTGGCTTTATACCAGACTCACTCCTGCAGCTGACCAAAACCTGGCTGTGAGGTGTTCATGGGGCCTCCCACCCGCTACCCTGGGGCATTCCCATACCCCTTCTTACCTCAGTGTCCCCTTTATTCATCGGGCTGCTCACAGGAAGGGCAATGGCTGGGAAGAGAAAGAGAGAGCTGGGGTCATGCCTCTGCTCCAAGAGGAGAGCTCAATCCTTCCTGACTGGGTTCATAGGGGGCCCATTCACCCCCGTGCTCTCCTTCAAACCCCCCCCCCCACTGGGATGCTGGGGTTGGTTTTGTTTCCCTTCCCTGGCTGCTGCCCCATGGGGATGGTCCCCAGGGGCTGCACTGAGCTCCCTGCCGCTTCCCTTTGGGAAAGCTCCTGCTCTGGGTTTGTGGGAGGTGGGGGACAGCTGAAGGCTAGTGCCATGAAAACAAGGCCAGTGGCTGAGTGGGACTGGGGTGGGGAAGGAGGCGGGGAGAGGAAGAGGGACCCCGGAGGAGGAGGACCGTGAGCGATGAGAAGGAGAGGGAGAAGCCCAGAGCAGAAAGACGGGAGGGCGGGGGCCTGCGGCGGTCTCCCATCTCCCCCATGACCTTGGGCAGCACGGCGCGGGGCAGGACCGGCCCCGAGGCGCTCGAGACGCCAAGCCCCGACTCGGGAGGGTCCCACATCAGGTCGGGTGGGGCCGGCGGCTCCGCGGGGCCGGGGCCGGGGGGCGGGGGGGGGGGGCGGGAGCGGGGCGCTGTCCGCGGTGCTGAACGCTCGCCGCGCGGGAGGCGGGAGACGGGAGGCGGGAGGCGGGAGGCGGGAGGCGGGGGACGGGGGCGAGCCTGGGCCCGGGGGCGGCGGGCGGGGCCCCGCGCTCGCTCACCTTGCCCGGCGCACAGCAGAAGGGCCAGGACGGCGGCGGAGCGCATGGCGAGCCCGAGGCCCGGGCGGCGGGCGCCCTGGCGAGGGTTGGCGGCACGCGCGGCCTGGGAGCGGGTTGCAGCGGCGCCGGCGCGAACCGGGGGGCGGAGGGCTCGGCTTCCCCGTCTGCAGCGCCCGCCGGGCCACCCACCTGCCTCTCCGCCGCGCGCCGCTCCTGCAGGAGCTTATATGCCCCGGCCCGGAAGTGACGTCATCGCGCCCGCCCCTGCCCGCCCCCCGCCCGCACCCCGCCCGCACCCCTGCCCGCACCCCTGCCCGCACCCCTGGGCGTCCGGCGGGCTCGCTCCTCGTGCTCCGGGCCCCGCCGCCCGCCGCTCCCGCCCTGCACCCTCCGACGGTCCCGCCGGCCCGCTGGGTCCGTGGGCGCGTCGTTCCCAGGCCCCCCGCGCGCCCCGAGGCCCCCGCCGGCTCTACGCGCCGCTTTATGCTTCTGAGACTCCCTCCGCGGGGACGGGGACGGGGACGGGACGGGGACGGGGACGGGACGGGGACGGGGACGGGGACGCCCGCCCATCTCGGAGCCCGACGCCTCCCCGCTGCCTGGCGCTCCCTCAGAGACCTAGAGGGCCCCGGAGAGGCCTCCCGAACCCCTGCTTGGAGAAGGTCAACCCAGTTTTGGGCCTTAACAACTTTTTTTAAAAAAAGATCTTATGTACTCATTCATGCGGGACGCAGAGAGAGGCAGAGACCCAGGCACAGGGAGACGCGGGCTCCGTGCCGGGCGCCGACGCGGGACTCGACCCCGGGACCCCGCGACCCCGCGACCCCAGGACCGCGCCCTGGGCCGAAGGCGGACGCTCAGCGGCGGAGCCGCCCGGGGCCCCACCGTCCCAGTTGGTAACGGTGTCTACATCTACGTATTTGAGGATGCGTGTTGGGCATCGCTCTCTCAGTGCCGAGCGCAGCACCTGGCGCAGAGGAAACGCAGCTCACAGAGGACTCTTGGACCTGTGGGTCGAGTTCGATCCAGGGATGAATGAGTGAACCCCAGACTCTGGCTCTCGTGGGGGCTGGCAGAGGAGGAATGGGGGACAGTTCTTGATATCAAACCAAAATAGGAGTTGTTGGAACGTCTGTTCATTAGCCCCAGTTCAGCCCCTTAGGATCGCCTTCCTGCTGGTAACCTAACCCACTGTATATTTGAGAGCAGCTCTCACATTTCTCTGATTGTTAAGATCTGGCTGTTTTGTGCGTCGGGCTGATTTCTGGGTTTGTGTCCCTCTGCCCAGGACTCCATTGCTGCTCCCCACCTGGATGACACGTCGGAAGCCCTCTGCCACCTGACCCCGGTGCCATAGTGAACCTGGTATCTGGGCTACGGTTTGGCATCAGTTGGTGTTGTCCAGAGCCTCCTCCTTCCTGAGACACTCTCCCCACATCTGCTGCTACTATTCCCTGCTTCCTGCCCCACCCTGCGCCCACTCCTGCCCCTCAAGGAAGACCTGGCAGGAACTCAGAGGACACTGAAAGATCCTTTTCATGTATTTATTCTTTCATTCAGACGCTATTTGTTTAGCACCTACTGTGTGCTTAGAACACCCTAAAACAACAGCACTCAGCTATTCTAGGTGTGGAGGATACAGCAGTGAACAGACAGACAAATACCTGATTCTTACAGAGTTTACATTCTAAAGGGTGAAGACAGACAATGGAGAAGTAAAGAGGTAAAATACACAGTTGTCAGATGGGGACAAGTGCTATGGACGAAAATGAGGCAGGGAAGGGGGATGAGTGTGTTGGGGAGGGGTGGGGCTACGTTTAAAGTATATGCAGTATTCTAGGGTCTTTGTTGAGGCAGCTCCCTTTGTAAAGGGCCGTTCCCAGGGAAAGACCTCAGCTGAGTGCTGACAATATATGCACCACGCCTTTCTGATGTGGGGTCCTCCTGAACGTGCTTGCAGAGGACGGCAACACATTTCCTCTCCCAAGGCCTATCACACAGACTTACCCGTGTCCTGAGTATAGCAGTCCACGAACATTCATTGTGTGCCACAATGTGTTTGACTAATGTACAGATATATTTCCTGGGCTTTTTTTGTTTGGTTTGTTTTGCTATTTTAAACAACGGTCTTATACACAAACTCTGTGACATCTGTGATTATTTTGTGTAATAGTAGGTGAATTCCTCATATCTTTAAAAATGGATATTTTTAAGACTCGTTAGTACGCATTGCCCAACTGCCATGAAGAAGGTTGAACCACTTCCCAAGCAGAGTGGATTTCTTTCAAGGGAAACTTTTTTTTTAAGATTTTATTTATTTGTTCGTGAGAGTGAGAGAGGCAGAGACACAGGCAGAGGGAGAAGCAGGCTCCATGCAGGGAGCCCAACGTGGGACTCGATCCCCGGTCCCCAGGATCAGGCCCTGGGCTGAAGGTGGCGCTAAACCGCTGAGCCACCCGGGCTGCCCTCAAGGGAAATTTGAGAGCCCATGCCACCCTTCCAAGAGCTCAGTTCTCCAGGAGCCTGATCCTGTTTATCCCGTGAAGCCGAGCATAACCAACCAGCAAAAATGTCCAAAACTAGGCTTCTAAGATGACAATGCCAGTAACTAGCACTTGCACTATGCTTTATAGCTCTTCAGAATGTTCATTTTTGAGCTCTTATGGCACCCCTCAGCCTAAGGTAAATGGAAGTTTCGATCCTACTTTGCAGATTTGGGAAATGAGACTCAGGATGTTAAAGTGACACATGACAAGTGAATGGTAAAATTGGATCTAGAACTTGTTTAGCCCAAATGCCCATGATTTCTCACATATTGTTACCTCTTCCTGGAATGCCTCCCAATGACCATCCCACTTTGTCCCCGATGGCTTGACGGGGATTTGAAGTAATTTAGGGTTTGAGGTAATTCCTCCCTCCTCTCTGCCTCCACAACACTTATCACAGAAGGTTGAATGTTTTGTCTTTCAATCCTTCTATCTAATTATGCTTTGAGATCTGTGGTGTTTGGTCTTCCTCCTGATCATCTTGTGATCTCGGTTCCTGGCATAGTACCGGGCACCTGGTAGGCACAATAGAAGAATTAAAGATAGAAAAATCTCACACCCCTTGATCTCCTCCTCTTTGGGATTTGAGCTGGATTACTTAGGTAAGGATAAGCTGCTGAGGAAGGGGGGAACCTAAAATACAGTGGAGTAAAATGGGATCTCGTTTCTCCCATATACCACAGCCCAGAAGTAAACAGTGGTGTGGCTCTGTCATTCTCAATATGAGATTTCTGTCTTTGCTACCAAGGTAGCTACTTAAGTTTTCAATATTTCTCTACCATGGCAAAGGGGACAAAGGATAGATGGAAGCCAAGCAGCTTCTTTGTAAGAATATGATAAAGAACTTGCCTGATCACTTCTCACAACCCATTGGCTAAAACTTAGGCACATGGACACACTTTGTTGAAAGGGAGGCTGGGCATCCATTGGGAGTGGTTCTGACTACTAAAAGAAGAGGGGATCCTGGGGGACAATTAATATTCTGTACTACACAACTCTGGGGGATGATGACAAACACTAACCTTTGTAGAAACCTTGCTAAGAATTAGGCACTGTCCTAAGTGTTTTACATTAACAGCCCTATGAGGTAGGTGCCATTATTATCCTTGCGTACAGATAAGAGTTCTGTAAGAGAATTAAGCCCAGGGGATCCCTGGGTGGCTCAGCGGTTTAGCGCCTGCCTTCCGCCCAGGGTGTGATCCTGGACTCCTGGGATCAAGTCCCACATCAGGCTCCCTTTCAGGGAGCCTGCTTCTCCCTCTGACTGTGTCTTTGCCTCTCTCTCTGTGTCTCTCAGGAATAAATAAATAAAATCTTAAAAAGAGAGAGAGAGAGAGAGAGAAAGAGAGAGAGAGAGAGAGAGAGAATTAAGCCCAAATGTCCTAAGGCATTCAATATGTAATGAATTAATGTCTCTTGCATGCACCTGGAATAGTACTAATTATGCATTATCCTTGGGAGAATTGAGAATATAGCTGTTAAAATAATTTCTGTGTTTTGTAGTTCTGATGAGGAACCTACGCACCATCAATGGATACCTTTCAAGGAGTCATGGGTCTGATTTTTGTCTTTGGGTTCTCCCAAAAGCGGACCCTAAGACAAGGATTTGGTACACAGAGTTCATTTGGAAATGATCCCAAGAAGTACAAAGAGGGAGCAAGGAAGTGAGACAAAGAAAGGAGAAGAGCCAATGAAGGGTATGGTGATGAGCCAGGCACCACTGAAGGCAGTCCCCTGCTGGGACTTGTTTAGAGACGGTGCAGAACGCATGTCAGAATTGTTCCCCTGGTTGCAGAAAGCTGGAGTACTTACCTGTGGATTCCTTTCCCTCATGGAGGGTCTCTCCTGGAGGCATGGATTTCCCAGCACTTCTGGTCTGTTCTGTGAAAGGGCGAAGCAAACTTCCACGGCCAAAAGGGCCAAGCAAACTTCCACGGCCAGAGAACACCTTCAGGCAGAGAACATTTGCAGCCTCTGGTGTGTATGGGAACTGTCTATAGGCAACCTCCACGGTGGCCCGAGGGGACGTAGGTGGGACACTCACATCTGGTACAGGGCTTCCTACGTGTTATGTCATTTCATCCGTACAGTAAACCTGTGGCTAATTATCAGTATCACTGCTCCTTATATACAGAAGTCAAAGCTCAGAGATATGGAGTGACTCTCTCAAGGTCACCTGGCTAGGAAATGGTAGAGTCTGGGAGCCAGCCATCTATCTCTAGTCACTCCCTGCTCCTCTTTTTAGGCCCTAAGCCCTGGACTAGCCTATTTTTACAGGTCCCCATCAGCAACCCTACCAAAAAAAATATTACCTTCAGGCTTTCCTGGGCTTCTCATTGTTTGAGAAAGACAGTTGACCTTTTCGCAACTTTAAGTGGATGAAGCTTGGAGAAACACTATTTTTTATTGCTGTAAGTGTATGCATACAATCTCCATTAATGTCATGTCCTTGCTTTGTATACTCAGCTTTGGACAAGTTCCCTAGTCCCTATTTCTAATCAGGTCATTGCCCCCTGAACTACTCTTGATATTCTGGAGTTGCCTCTGGTTATAACAAGTACGGTCATGTCCTTACTCTTTTTTCCCCCAAACAAAAGTTCTTACTGTGACTCACCCCTACTGAAATGCAAAGATCTGGGACAGAAAGCCAAGATGTGGTTAAC